CAATGTTGTGGGCGCCGCCATCAGCCCTCGGACATGGATCCTGACATAAGCATACGACAACCACTACAATCCAGGAGGAAACTCACATCATCTACAGTAACGGGTGTATGGTCACTTCCCCGTCTGCTCCCCGTAGGGTCACGGCTCGGCACCCTGGCACGCCGCACCATCTGCCAAAGTAAGATGGGATGTGACCACTTGCTGAACGAAGCCAGAGCATGGCCCTGTTAGGATTAATGAACGTGCTATCCCTGGCACCGTCTACCTTGTTAGCAGGGCAGGATCAAGGGAAAAGGAAGACCCGACACCTTCGAAGGACCTTCTCTACCTTTGATTTTTCCCTCTTTCTCCCATCTGTAATCCCTGCTCCCCCTTGGTCTATAAAGGGGAGGGTAGGACACCCCACTAAGGAGACGAATCAATCTGACACACCACGCACGCACATAGCATACAACTGAGCAGCAACCGAGCTCTCAGCGCCCTTTCGACCTTTCCATTAGAGACTTGGGATCCGTACCTCTCTCGACCGTTTGTACCCCCTACTACAAATCTTTTCAGTGCTAATAACACGAGTAGCAGCAGCAGACTAGATGTAGAGACATTCTGCTCGAACCAGTATAAATCTTGTGTCCTTTAGCACACCATCCGGGCCTAACGCGCAACAAATATAAATTTACTAGGTGGTGTTTACTCGAAACACCGACAACCTATATAGGATTCAAGATATATTTGTCAGGACAAGGAAAGTAGATTCAGCAAGTGGTTTCAATCAACCCTTAGTACTTAATGCATCAACATAAAAGGACTCAAGTTGATATTTATAAAACATAGGAGACTTAGAATGCTCCGGGGCTTGCCTTTCGGAAACGAGGAAGGTTGGTGATCAGGACACCCAGGAAGATCTTTCACATTGACTCCTCCTTTTGTTTGAACCCCCTGCTCCTAGGTTGCCTGCTTCTCCTCCTGACGCTCGGGTTCGAACTCGAGTAGCGTCACTCCTTCCGGGGCACCTATTGCATGCATATGCACAAGTGAGTATCATGAATACATAAGAGATGAGATGACATGATGAAGTGTATACGCATGAGCATGGTTATCTGCAAGATGTATGATAAGTTTAACATTCGTTGACCAAGTAGATGTATAACTTTCTTCTAGTTGATCTTTACTGAGTAGGTGCATATCTCTTCTATAGTACAAGAAACATACACTCACCAAGTTCTAGTAACCTAAGGTAAAGTTGTTCATCATCAGTAAGAGGCTTAGAACCTACAGCTAACAACTAATCTCAATTAGCCTAAGCATCTACAAGCATCACATAAGACAAACAATTACAATTTGACTTAGTCATTTCTTGGAAATAACAGCTACTTATTTTGGCCATATCTGGAGTTCTACTCAACCAAATACTATGATCTTGGACTTTCTGGAAAGCTTATAAAACTTCCTACAACTTTATTTTAGTCATCCCAAGATGATTTAATGGCTATCATGGTCCAATAAAGCAATTTCCCAGATCTGTCCAGAAATTCCAGAGAATAAGCATTTCTGGAGACCAATTTTCAACAGTTATAACTCTCAAACCATTTAGCCTATTGCCATGAAAATTTGATACAAGCAATATAAGTAAGTTATCTACAACTTTGTTATTGACAAGATTCACAGCAAATATCATTTTACTCATGCAATTTACTTAACAACAGAAACTGTCCAAAATAGTCACTATAATTGAATTATAGAGCAATTAATATTTCACCGCATACAAGCAATTAAATCTGGGCATAACCAATGCTACCAAAAATTTATAGACATCATATACACTTTAGAAAACATAATGGTCAAGCCCAAATAAATTATTTAAACGCCTTCATTAATTTATTTGGACACTAAGGTGAAATAAGGAACATATATTAAAAGTGCATAGTAAATTCTAAGAAAATTATGGTAGCCTATATATGACCCCAAAAGTCTACTGTACAAATTTCATGCCATTTGGATAAGTATAGCCATCTCTACAAAAATGACAAACTAGCAAGACTTATTTTAGCAAAAATATTTTAGCCTAGTGAAAAGTGTCAAACAATAGATTTCATATTTTTTTTACTTTCATGCTAGCACCATAATACTATGTAAAAACTTGCATGATCATAAGTTATGTATTTTTACCCCATTTATTTTCACTAGAAACTAGCAATTAATCAAGGTTAAATAGGAAGACCATATTTCAAGTGTACCTACTATAGGTTTAGCATTTTTCCTAGCTAGAGCATGTCAACATAAGACTAATAAAATTGGAATCATAATTTTTGCACTTACCTAGCTCAAGATATGCATTTTACAAGATGGAAACAAATTTAAAAGCACTTATCTAGCTCAATTTAATTCCCCTAGAAAAATATCCCAAACAGTAGGTTTCATATTTTTGTCACATAGTACACTTCATGAAGAATCCAACAAAAATTGGTTCACTCAATTTGGACACTCCTAGAATTAGTTATGAATTTTACAAGTTTGCTACAAAATCTGAAAAAACAATTAAAGAACAACATCAAAAACCCTGTTAAATGCTAAGTGCACCCGGCGTACTGCACCCAGAGGTGCTGACAGCTGGGTCCCGCGGTCAGAGTGACCCCACCAGTCATAGGCACAGAGCAGAGGCGACGCTTTGACCGACGAAAGCTCGTCGACGGCGATGTCTCTGGCGGCGGGGTTGGCACCAACGTGCTCCCCCCGATCTCGCGCATTGACTAGGCTAGGTAGTTGAGCCTAATACGCCGGCTGGGCATGGTGGCGGTGCTCATGGTGGCTCGACGGCGCAGCATGGTGGCACTCCGTCCTTGGCAAGCTCGGACGAGCTCGGCTACGGCTTTAGGGTGACCTAGCGGAGATCTAGGGTTAGAATTAAGGCTCGTGATGACGCCGGTGAGGCACGGCCACGTGCATGGCGGCGGCGCGACTGGTTCACGGAGGTGCGGCGCGGCATTAAGCCTCCGACATGGTCGGCATTGGCCAAAGGCCAATGACTACAGCTAGTACTAACCTTAGTGACTACAGAACAGGGGAGAGAGAGAGTAGTGTAGGTGCGAGGCGGCTCGGTCACGGCGAGCTCAAGCTCGGTAGCGGCAATGGTGGCCGCGACGACGGCTCATCGGCTCTAAGGTGCTCACCTGGGCTCGAACGTTGGCGTTAGCGGCTTGGGAAGATAGAGTGGGTCACGGCCGAGCTGTGGGCGCAAGGAATTGGGCAGTGGTGCGGTGCGGGTGGCGAGCTTGGCCGATGAAAGCTCGATGGTGGCGCTGCGCGGGAGCGAGAGAGGGACGGGAGAGAGTGAGAGTGAGCGCGAGCGCGAGAGAGCGCGCGAGACCGCGCTGCCTTCAGCGCTACCCCGACCGCGGCATCGGCGTGGCTCCGGCGTACGACAGCCACGCGGTGGCCATGACCTGTGGCCGGTCGGCCACGACGCCAGCTGATTCAGAACTGCATCGGGTGACTGACAGCGTGACTTCGTGCACATGTAAATCCTAATCCGTGGTGAATCAATGAAAATGGTATTAGTGAAAGTTGTAGAGCTATGTGAGATCTACATCTTTGCTTTAGGGAGTAACATCAAATTCGTCATGGTTAGCAAGTTACCAAGCTCCAAAGTGGGGCACTTGAAACTGAAATCAACATTTTGGACTTAGCAAAATTTCTAAGTCTAGAAACAACATTTTATTGATTCTTGTAAGCCCTATTTGACCATGTTAGGCATTGAATTAGCTCATGACCCTTAAATAAAGTTTGTTCCACATAAGATAAGATACAACTTTTATTAAGGGTGCACTGCCATGCAAACACTCTATGCTATAGTTCAACTTTGGTCAAAGTAGGATGATGAAAAATGACATTTTGAGTAAACTAGGACTTAGAAGCAAAATTGGCCCATGTCATGACTACAAACATTGTTTCATTTACCATCATAGACATGTCTAAGGTGTTTTTGTGATCTCACAACCATCTCTTGCATTGGTCACACATGATCACAAGCATATGCATGTATATAATCAACATCACATGTGACAATGTGTAAAGAATAAGATGAAATTCCATATGCTCATGCTCATGAATGCTTGGATGATGCTTGTGCTCATGAAATGCAAGTGCCAAATGCAATGCTTAACACTAGGTGTTACACTACCCATGTGTAAATGTGAATTTAGATCCTCAAAGTTTTTAGGTGTGATTTATGTATGTCAATGAGTCTCGCTAGAAATAATATCATCAGATGTGGTCCTCTCAAACGGTCGTTCCAACAAGTCACCCATATTTCTAGGGCCAATTGGCACAAGGGACCGCCTGAACTGGATATATAATTTTTAGGGCTAGACTGGGCCTTATTATTGGGCCCATCTAGACATTTCTAGGGCCCGCTGTAATTTACAACAATGTTTAGAAAAAAATATGCGTCTAAAAATCGTTGATATAGTAATTGTGTGTATAAGATTTTAGATGTTGATGGTAAAAGTTCAAAAACTTTTACTTGGGACAAACTTAGATAGACAAGTTGTCTTAGTGTCTTCAAACCGTCTATTTTAGAAGATTTTAATAGTCAACATTTTAAAAGTTTGTCCTTCAACTTGACCAAAACAACAAGAATTAAGCATCATGTGGTTACGTAGTTAACTACAATAAAACAAATAAGTAGCTAATAAGATGACTTCCATATATTAACACACAATACATATACATAATCTTAAATTGCACCAATGATATAGTTACACACTGCAGTACGAAGTAGCGAGACGACCGGGCACCGTATAGCATCATGTCGCTAGCTAGATGCATGCATGGTATATGCATGCGCTTTAGTGGATTGCAAACGTTATAGTACTAGCAGCAGTACGTACTGAGCAGCACACGCCACACATCTGCTCTTATTTACTTATATATTACACGCTGACACGCATGTACATATAGTATTGGGAGAAGATGGGCGCATGATCGAGTTCATTCTCTAATCTCTAGTGGTGGTGGCAGAAGTGGTCGTCGTGCGCCCTGCGCTCCTTGGCCGCCGCCTTCTGCTCCTTCTGCACCAGAGAGACCACCAGATTAATTAATTGTTACTGCATGCATGCATGCCAAGTACACTGCTTCATTTGGTTGGTTATCAACCAAATACAGTAATGAGCAATATAAGTACATCATTAGTAGTATTTACCAGTGTGGACGAGGCGCCGGCGGCGATGGCGCCCACCTCGCCGCCGTTGTAGCAGTCGGCGGCGTACGCCGGCCTACTGCGTCTCGCGTCGTCGTGTCCGTACACCCTCCTGCTGCCGTGCACGTGCTTGCCGGCGTCGTAGCAGTCGTCGGTGTTGGTCCTGCCGGCGTGGAAAAACTCGGCCATCTCGCTCGCTCGATGTCCTGCTTGCAGAGACTCTGCACTACTATTTCAGTTCAGGTGTACACGTCTGCCTTGCTCGCTTCTGCAGCAAATGTATGCAGGGGCGGGGCTATTTATAGGGTGATCGACAAGGGACACCGGCAGGTCATGATGAACGGCGAGGATGATATAGGCGGATAAGAACAATCTCATGGTGATTGGTCCGGGTAATCTCTATGTGTTAATACTGAAATTATTTGATCTAACTGTTGTTGGAAAGAAAGAAAGAAAGCTGCAATAAGCGGTTTTCTTATTTGGGCACAGTGCAACAATCAAGACTGACAATACAGTGTTCGAGAGAGAGAGAGAGAAAACAAGATTGTGAATGCGCCTGAACGGCTGAACCCTGATGGTCCAGCAAGCATTGTCCACGCGTTCATATACATTTCTTTTACACTTGAAGAAAATTGGTGTGGTGTAGCTGCATTTGCCACTAAATTAAGATAGATAGATGGAGACTGCAGAGGTGACAAGCAAAGATTACAATAGTGGGGGTTGTTGTTTTCCCTCTTTCCGAAAAGAACATGCTGTAGTTTTGTTGAAAAATGTGTGTAAACGAAGGTGACTGAATGCGAAGGACAGGAAACAACGTGTTGTATGCCTGCTGTATTGCATATATATTATGTTTATACTCCATTCCGTACACAAAAGAATACAATTCTCGTTTTTTAAGGAGTTAAACTGTTTGAATTTTACTAAATTTATATAAAAAGTACTAACATTCGTGATATAAAATAAGTACCATAAGATTAGTTATAAAATATATTTTTATAATAAATTTATTTAGAGATATAAATTTTAATATTATTTACTATAAACTTGGTCAAACTTTCTATAATTGCATTCTTTCGTGGACGGATGGAGTATATACGTGTGGCAATCATTGGTGGCAAGGGGCCAATAGGCAATAATGCACATGCCCCTATGGGGATGGCAATGGTAAAGTCAATTCCACTCTAATTAGAAGGCGCCTATTTTTACAGTAAATTACCAACTATACTAATTAGGAGCATTTTTCCAGCACACCGTAAAGTACAATCAAGCCTGCTATTATGATTGCGACAGTTATGTCCTATTTAATTTGGGCAATGATCAAGATTGTGACAATGCCAAAATTTATAGGTTCCACTTCTATTTTCCTTCAATGATATATCATGTACAACAGCATTCTAAAAATTAGGAGAAAACCGAAATCCCAACCTTATAAAAAATTAACAACTCAGCATCATTTAAAACCCATTATTGTTGTTTTTGGTGGAATTTAAACTCATATAGTATTGTGAAGTTGAGCTTAGTCTATCTAAAACCATAAATCTTTACCAATTTTAGGACATATTATGTGGTACAACAAAGGACACATATAACCCTCCCTGATTACTGTACTTAAGTTAGTGATACATATTAATGGTAGGTATACATGTGAATGTTGTTTTTTGAAGGACTTGTTCACCTTGAATCGCTTATAATTTAGAACAAATCTGAATGCTTGGATACCTTATATTTCAGGGCAGATGAAGTATTATCTAGATGACCCCAAGACCCAAGTGTACACAATTTTTTTTCAAAAAAATAAATAAAACTAGTTGCCACTTAAAACAAGTGGTGCAGCTACATTTGTCACTAAGAGGGAGGTGATGAGCAAATATTTCAATGCACATCATTTTCTCTCTTTCTTACAGTAGCAATAAGCGAGATGCTTTACTAAGTGGGAGTGTGTCCTTTTCTAGCACACCTAAGGACAAACAAGTCTTACTACCATGACTGCGACAATTCCGTCCTATTTAATTTGGGAAATAATCAAGATTGTGACGATGCCTAAACTTGATGCTTCTAGCAAGTTCCACTTTTGTTTTTATTCAATGGTTTATCATCATATAAAAACTTAATAATTCAGTAGGATTTACAAACATATAATTGATATTCTGGTGGAATTTGAACTCGGATGTTATTTTGATGTTGAACTTAGTTTATTAAAAACCATAAATTTACAAAGATATATTATCTAGATGACTCCAAGATTTCTAAGTGTACATAATGTTTTCAAAGAAAAAACTAGTTCTCACTTAAAACAAGTGGTGGTGCTCCATTTTTCACTATGATGGAGACTACAAAGGCGATAAGCAAAGATTACAATGCACGTTGTTTTCTCTCTTTCTTACAATAGCGTGCGATGATTTGCATCTACTCTCTGAAACCAACATATAAAGACTTCTAAAAATATTTTGAAAAAAATAAGCACCAAAGGAGAAGTCCATCGTGCTTCCTCATTAAATAGACATGCTAGCTCCTGATTGGCTTAATTAGCAGTTATCTTGGGCTATATGATCCATTCCATAATTGGTTGTTTTAATCACACTATACAAGTGGGTCATCAGAAGTCCTTATATTTTGAGATAAAATTTAACGCCAAAAGTCCTTATATTTTTGGATATAGAGGGTAACTGGCCGGGAGTAAAGTAATTATTCTTTCAGTAAAGTCTTGCTATCATGATATAGTGACCATACCGTTTATTTCAGCAATAATCAAGATTGTGACAAATATCCAAACCTGATGCTTCTAGCAAGCTCAATTTATTTTCCTTCAATAACCTATCATGTACGACGAGTTCTAAAAACTAGGGGAAATTAAACCCAAAAATTTCGTTATATCAAAATTTAAAAATTCAGCATGACTTACAAGATGTAGTTGATGTTTTGGTGGAACTTAATTAAACTCAGATGGTATTGTGAAGCTATGCTTAATTTATTAAAAAATGTAAATGTTACCAAGGATATATTATCTACGGTATTCCAAGATTTCCAAGTGCATAGTTTTTCAAAGAAAAAACTACTGGTCACTTAAAACAAGTGGTGCAGCTACATTTGTCACGAAGATAGATGGGACTACAAAGCTAAATAAGCAAAGATTCCAATGCATTTTGTTTTATCTCTTTCTTAAAATACACTATTACACAAAATCTTTTGCGAGGCGTTTTCAAAATGGCCTCGAAGGCGAGCGGGCCGTCTGCCCGCCTCGGTTATTCGTGGCAGGACAACCGGCCCAGCAATCGTCTCGGTTAATACTTAACCAAGACGAGCAATGTATTATAACCGCCACGGTTAATGCCTATTAACCGAGGCGGGCATTATAACGCAACCGCCTCGGTTAATACATTAACCGAGGTGGGCATTATAATGCAACCGCCTCGGTTAATACACTAACCAAGGCGGTTGCTTCCAAATAACCGCCTCAGTTATTCAGTGTTGCGTTCAGACCTTGAGGCTCGGTCGCACAGGAACAGGAGTGGGAGTGGGGCTCGCGCGTCGGTCGCAGTGAGAAAGCACAAATGTGCTGTGCTGAAAGGTCCTAATGGCTAGAGGGGGTGAATAGCCTATAAAAATTTCTACAACAACACTTAAGCAATGTGGTTAGTCAAATAAACGGCGAAGCGAATGCAACGCTAGCTTACTAAAAATACAAGCTACTTACCACAATTCTAGTTCTTGTAGTCTCTATCCACAAAATGGCTATGTCACTACACTAAGTTAGTGAGCTCTCAAAGACTAACTAAAGAGCCTCACTAACCACTAGTCCTGACGTAAGCTAGCTCTCAAAACTAATTACACTAAAGAGCTTAGCTTACACATTAGGAATGTAATACAAGAAAAGATGGCGATGATTATACCGACGTGTCGAGGTATGAGCCAATCATAAGATGGAGCCAATCAATCAATCACAAGATAACCAATAAAATCCTTGGACAAGGTGACATAAGATTTTTTATCGAAGTTCACTTGCTTGCCGGTGAGCTAGTCCTCATTTGGCGATTCACTCACTTAGAGTTTCACGCGCTAATTGGCAACCAACACAAGATGAGGATCATACAAGCCACGAGCAATCCACTAGAGTACATTTTGGCTCTTCGTCGGGGAAAGGTCAAGAACCCCTCACAATCACCACAATTGGAGCTAGAGACAACCACCAACCTCCGCTCAACGATCCTCGCTGCTCCAAGCCGTCTAGGTGGCGGCAACCACCAAGAGTAACAAGCGAATCCCGCAACAAAACACGAACATCAAGTGCCTCTAGATGCAATCACTCAAGCAATGCACTTGGATTCTCTCACAATCTTACAAAGATGATGAATCAATGACGGAGATGAGTAGGAGGGCTTTGGCTAAGCTCACAAGGTTGCTATGTCAATGCAAATGGCTAAGAAAGTGAGCTTGAGCCAGCCATGGGGCTTAAATAGAGAGCCCCCACGAATAGAGCCGTTGAGCTACTCACTACACTGAACACGGGGCGACCGGACGCGCCGGTCAGAGGTGATCGGACGCACGCCTCCAGTGTCCGGTCGCCCGATGAGCACCACGTGTCCCGCTTTCAAATGTCAGCCACGCGATCTTAACAGCTAGTAGCTGCTCGCGCGCCACTGCCATCGTCTGGGAGCCGCCATCAATGGCCATCTCCGCTAGGATCCTCCCCACGGCCAGGCCCATCTTGAATCCATGCCCCAAGAACCCTGCCCCGACCACCATGTCCCGCCCGAACTCCCGGCCGTCGGCGCCGAGGAAGTCCATGACGAAGTTGGCGTTGGGGGGCGAGGCACCCTATGCGGCAGACAATCACCGTTGCCCCCCTCCATCCCCCATCGTGGCCGGCAGGCGAAATCCCATCGCCCCCCTCCCTGTTAATGTGACCGGAGCTGCGCCTTGCACGCACGAGGCGGAGAAGAAGAGGAGGGGCCCGGGCGCCGGCAGAGAAGAAGAAGAGGGTGCCCGCGCTCGCAGCAGGAAGCACGCGTGGCCTCTTGCGCCGTGGCCCTGCGCGGCCTTAACGCCCGCAGTCGGCGGTCTCCACGCCCGCCATGACGGCCAAGCTGCTTCGCTCCGTCTCCGGGGGTGTGGACCTCCCCATCAGGCCGCTGCACACGCTCCACCTGTACTGGCGCGTGAAGCCCGGCCGGAACCAGACCCTGTCAGCAAGGCCGCTGAGCACGCCGCCGTGGTCGCTGAGCGTGGTGACCCACCCGTCGTCGCCCGAGCCCGGGGGCACGATGAAGGTGAAGGCGCCGCCCCACCTGCGGCCGAGGTCGTCGCGCACCTCCTCGGCACCGTCGTTGGCGACGACGGCGGCGAGCGCGGTGCTGGCGCGCGGGCCATGGAGAGGTGCGGCGTCGGGGTGAGGACGCGGTAGCCGGCCTCGGCCTCGGCGGCGGCCCAGAGGCGCACCAGCGACGGCGCAACGGCGGGCGCCGGCGGGGTGGAGGCCAACAGCAGCGGTGGCTGAAGAGGAAAAGGAGAGGGAGAGGATGAGTGATTGACATATGGGCCCCATATGTCACTAAGATGAAGGCCGATGTCCTACGTGGCGGTCAATGCCATCGTGGTGTGGTCAAACCCGCTCCACGTCGGTTAAAACAGCCCCGTCCGCGCCTAGGTGCTAAAAATGAACGGTTTTGACAGTTTAAGTACCAGCATTAGACGGTTTTGTAGTTGATGGTCAAAATTAGACGAACCAATAGCTGAGGGGTCAAAAGTGGACTTAATCCTATAAAAAAACAACGAGTTCTGAAAGCTAGGGGAAAGCTGAAATTCTATCAGAATTTAAGAACTCATCAAGATTTACAGAATGTAAGTGATGTTTTGGTGGAATTTTAACTCAGATGATATTGTGACGTTAGGCTTAGTTATTATAAAAAACTGTGAATGTTAGCAAAAGGAATATTATCCAGCGGTCGATGACTCCAAAATTTCCAAGTCCGCACAAGTTTTTAAAAGAAGAAACTAACTGACACTTAAAACAATTGGTGCAGTTACATCTATCACTTAGATAGATGGAGACAATTGAGGTAATATGCAAAGATTCCAGTGCACGGCTGTGTTTTCTCGAGCATGTGATATTTTTCCTCATGAAAATATCATGCGATATTTTGCCACTTGAAAGCATTTCTTTCTCCAGCACACTGTGACTAATTTATTCTTCTTTTCAATCAGTTCTTGCTACAACGATTGTGACAGCGCACCATATAAGCAATTTTTGTATTTGGGCAACAACATCAAGACTTTGACAATGCCCGAACCTGATGCTGAACCTCCAATTATTTTCCTTCACTTCAGTGACCTATCATATACAGCAGCGAGTCAAAAAAAAAAACTAAGAGAAACATGAAATCCCGACACATTGGCTGGTCCTTTGGAACCAGGAATTTTCTAGAATCATACAGGAATTCACAATTTTGCATGAATCAATTCATTCTCACAAGAAAACGCAAGAAACAGTAAAATTAAAGGGGGTCTAAATTCAGATGGTGTTGAAATTTGGCTTAGTGTACATATTAAAAAAACCATACAGTTTATATCCATATGAACCTAAGATTATTTTTTTTTTCAAAGAAAAACTAGTTGCACTAGAGAAAATCGGTGCAGCTACATTTGTCACTAAGATGGAGATTAGGCCCCGTTCGCTGGTCTGAACTTTGGCTAAAACTAGCTGAAAACACTGTTCCAGCTGAATTATTGTGAGAGAAAAACACTGTTCCGGCTGAAAAAACAAGCCAAACAAGCCAAACTTTAAGACAAGCGATAATTTGCACGTCGTTCTCTTTCTGGAAAGGCATGCGATAATTTGCCAATGTGGGAGCATTTCCACCACCCTGTAAAGTTATCCTTCTTTCATTCTAGTCTTGCTATCGACAACTGATATATCTTTCAGTGTCAAAGAATAATGTATGTCCCCTATATTTGTTTCTTTAAATAAAAAAATGTATATCTCCAACGTGAAAACTGAAAAGAAAATGCACTCTTAATCTCATTTCAGATTCTTCGTAATCAGGATGAGTACTTCTTTAGAGCAGGAATGAGACAAGTGGCTACCAACACTTGGCACCCATCATTACCATTAGCACAGGCACCGAGCCACAGTATTTATTGCAAAACACTCGTACTCACCTGGACACCTGGTGGCTTTGGGTGAAATAGAGCGAGAAGCGTTGTAGAGTTCTTCTAGAAGGTATCCACAGCAGCACCACTTTATATTGTATCCTCAGGCAATTGCATTTTTATACAGGAACACAAGTTTTCCACTAAGCAAAGAAGTCTCATCTACTCGGTGCATGATTCATCAGAACGAAAAATCCTCCAGGGACCAGCAGCAAGACACTATACTACTAAGGCGGTGTTTGGTTCACCTAACACCTCCAAATTTAGTCCCATTTAGTCACTTTGTTTGCCAAACACTTTGACTAAATAGAACTAAATGGCATTTAGCCAACTAGTCACCCAAAGCTTGCTAAAAGGGACTAAAAGCCCACCCTGGGGATGCCCCTCATAATTGCCCTGTCCGAGCGCTAACCCTATCCCTTGGCCGGGCCTCGCCCACATGGTCGGACAATTTTGCAGGTTTCAGGAATGGAGAGAAGACAATCTTAAAGGTATATTGAGCACTTGCTTATTCGCTACACAAACAGATATTAGAAGATAGATGCTGGAATCCACAATCACTCGCACCTGTAATTGAGATACAGCTGTGAAAGAAGAATAATCTATCATCCCCTGTGCCTTCAAATAGTACGGCTCAGATCAGGGCAAAGGATACAACATGAAAACGACAGCTTTTCTTCCCATTCACAAATACCGCACTAGTGGTTGAATAATTTTTACAAAACAAAGCATACTAAACGATATGAAAAGTTTGAATCTTGGATGTACACCTTCATATCCTAAATGTCCCATCGCTTGCCAACAATTTACCTTTGGTGACAAACAATTCATTGAGCATCCATTCACTTGCATGGTCTGCCAAAGAAAAGGTAGCTTCAGTAGCTGGTAAGAATAACTATATCATGAAAGTCAACAAAGAAAATAATTGGATTGCAGATAAAGTCCCAACGAAGTACGTCGGTCTCATTAAGGACATGTACAACAATGTTGTGACTAGTGTTCGAACAAGTGATGGAGACACGGATGATTTCCCGATTAGGATAGGACTACATCAAGGGTCAGCTTTGAGCCCTTATCTGTTTGGCTTAGTGATGGATGAGGTCACAAGGGGCATATAAGGGGACATACAAGGAACACTCAATTCATGGCATACTTTATTATAAGATTTATAAACTACGAAACTCATTCCTACAAATGACTAATTAGAGAGAAACCAGTATAACTGGATCGTTTCAAAAGTACAGTGTTGCTATAACTAGCTGCTCCCTCCAGCTTTCTTGTCGTTTTGGACAATGTTGAGGTCAAAATTTTAGAACTTACTATCAATAACTTTTCAAATATTTAGTTTGAAGATACTAAGACAACATGTATAGAGTACTCTTGCAAAGTACTTTAAGAAACAGACATATTTGCTATTTTGGTGTATGCTTTTCGTGGACGATGTAGTGCTAGTTGATGAAAGCTAGACAGGAGTAAATCAGAAACTGGAGTTATGGCGGGAGACTTTGGAGTCCAAAGGTTTTAGACTCAGTAGAACTAAAACTGAGTATATGAGATGTGACTTCGGCACTACTACTCGGGAGGAGGAAAAAATTAGTTTGGAAGGTCAAGTAGTGCCTATGAATGATACCTTTCGATATTTAGGATCAATGCTACGTAGAGACGGAGATATTGATGAAGATGTTAGCCATAGAATCAAAGCAGGGTGGACGAAGTGGTGCCAAACATCTGGTGTCCTATGTGACAAAAGGGTACCAAAGAAGCTAAAAGACAAGTTTTATAGGACGACGATTAGACATGCTATATTGTATGGTGCAGAATGTTGGCCTACGAAAAGACGACATGTTCAACATATAAGTGTCGCGAAAATGCGTATGTTGCGTTGAATTTGCGGTCAAACAAGAAGGGATCGAGTTCGGAACGATGATATACGTGATAGATTAGGGGTAGCACCAATTGAAGAAAAGCTTGTCCAATACCAGTTGAGATAGTTTGGACATGTCCAACAAAGACCTCCAGATGCACCGGTGCGTAGTGGAATCCTAAGCCAGGATAGTAACATGAAGAGAGGCAGAGGAAGACCGAAGTTGACTTGGGTAGAGGCAATAAAAGGAGACTTGAAAGGATGAAATATACCCAAAGACTTAGACTTAGATAGGAGTGCTTGGAAAATAGCTATTCATGTGCCTGAACCTTGATTGCTTCTGTTAAATTTCAACTCTAGCCTACCCCAACTTGTTTGAGACTTGAAGGCTTTGTTGTTGTTGTTGCTGCAGATATAAGCACCTCAGCATGGTTTTCTTTCAACATATCTTTACTAATGCTGAAGGACCGGGTTAATATTTATGCTGGGTAGCACTAGTGGTTTATATGAGCAGCTAGGTTAAGATGAAGAAGGAATTACAGTTCAGTATTGCATCAAGAAGCAGAGGATTCAACGATTCACAATATCACAGTTTCAGATTGAAACTATGAAGGAAAAATGACTATTCATGTCGCAGTCGAAGTAAAACCTCATGAACAATAATAAAGAATTCAACATGAAGAGGAACATGTTGTGAGGTAGCACCAAGTACTTTTTTTTTTGAGGGGGTGGGGCTTGGGGGATCCTGCTCTGCTCACCATATGTGCTACTTTGTGACTGCCAAAGCATTATCAATCTGTTCGATCATCTGGTTTGCAGGCAATGCTCCTTCCTGAATGCCAGGTAGCAAAAGAGAGGGAAAAGAAAACAAAAGGCATAGTATATTAGCACAAGTGAAATTATTGATGAAAATTGAAAAGATTGTTTCGTTCAACACTTACAAAGCGATAGCAAGGTTTCCCATCCTTGAATATGATAAAAGTTGGCAATGCTTCAATTCTGTAACGACTTGCAATGCTAGTGTACTTCTCAGTATCAATTTTCACAACTTGAATTTTGTCACCTAACTTTTCACTGACTTCTTGAAGTATGGGAACCATGTATTGGCATGGACCACACCTGACCAAAAGAACAAAAGTAAATGTAATTGTATGTTACAGACGTACATAGAGACAGAGAGCAATGCTGGTGTGGTGTACAGACTGCTCATAACTTTGAATGATGAAGTATCTTCCTAATAGGCTAATATGCATGGTGTAATGGAGCTAACAAACCAATAGACACAGCTGTCCGCTAGGAGTTGGGACAATGTTTGATGAGTACATGTACATTATCAAACAAAATTTCTGGATTTTGATAGAACTCAGAAGGTAACAATGAACAATATCATGAACAGAACATGACCAAATTAATCATATAGTGATGGGTTTTTTTTGTTAGAAATCAGTAGGAATGCACATCATCGTGAACAGTACCAGAACATAGAAAGCAGGGGGTCTGAAATCAGTAAGGCGCATTTGAGGTATTGCAAATACCAATTGTGAAGGAAATACAATTGAACATGTTAGTCCACATGGTGAACACTAAAGACAAAAAGTGAAAAAACAGACCCAACCTCTCCAGCTCTTCCCCACATGAGCAAAAAAGGGTGCAAAAACTCTTCAATTTTCACCAAAAGTCTGGCATCTTCTCAAAAATAAAAAGGGTAAGAGGTGGTAGATATTATGCATGTGATTTACACAGATGATGAACACAATGCTAGTCCAGTGCAATGTTCACCTCCCAAATGGTTGGTGACACCTTGGCATAATGGCAAGAACATGAAACACACCAAAGTCCTAAAAAGACAGCAATAATGAAGAGAACTTATATCTAGTAGAGAGCACTGAAATAGCTCAACATGACATTTGGCACCACCACTTTCACTACTTCCAGTAAGTAACTTACCAAGTTGCATAGAAGTCAACTAATAAAGGCTTCTCAGACTTCTCCAGCAACTCATCAAATGAAGAAAAAGTTTGCTTCTTAGCTTCCACCTATCCAAAAATTAAATACGGATAAAATATCAGAAGAAATGGCAGAAATCCACAAGTTCTCTTTTTGAGGGGGTAAAGAAGAGCTATGCAGCCCTAATGGAAAAGGATACATGTAAGAAAACAGTTATAGGACTATAAGCACACATAAAAAGATTGCATATAGTATCAGTTGGCACTTGCTCACTTCTAGAGCTACCCAATGGATGAGAACAAAACTACAATTTCAGAAAACTGGAAAGTACTCCAATGAGTATTAAAAGGAAAAACATCGTCATAGCTATTAATATATGGCATAAATTTTCACCTACATAAGGTTAACAGCCTAAAAAGATACAGGGTCATTTTTCAAAAAAGTTGGATACATACAAGCTACACCAAGTTCCCAGATGTCTAAGACTAGGAACTCAAATTTTGATACAGTAGCAAAAATAAAATTGGATGGCTCATAGTAGTTGCAAACTCTGAAAAGTACTACGAGGAGTCCAGGACAGAGTTCAGGCATTTGGACACCAGCCAGTGGACCTAGACTGTTTCGACATTCCAAAGCAACGATTCCACTGTGTACGCACATACCATTCCATTCCAATTTCCATTGGCTGGCACAGTATCCAAAACTACTTCGTCTGGAACGCAACGAGAAGGAATGCCAGGAAGGTCTCACCCGTAGCGTGGCGCCCCGCCGAGAACGCGCGGCCCCTCCCCTGAGGCCCAGAGCCGGCGTCGAGCAGCGCAGCGGCATCCACTGCGCCGGCGCCGGGCGCGAGGCGAGCGCGGCCGGCCGGCACGGAGTCGGCGACGCCAGCGCCGCGCGCGCTGTGGCGCTGCCGGTAGCGAAGGTCGCCATGAGGGTGGTAGGGGTCGTCGAGCCGCTCGCCCTAGGGTTTCTCGACGCCGGTGTGGCTCCCCTTGCCGGCTGGCTTCCTCTTATCTGCTTCGCCTCTCGCTCCCCTCCACTTTCCCCGGGAGAAGGGGGAGAGAGAGACGACTCAGAGTCACTGCGCGGTGGGCCCGGAGCGCCACTTGGACACGGGTGCTCCGTGCACCAAGTCCACGAGCGCGGCCGTGGCAAGCAGGTGGGCCCTGGTGGCAGTGTCATCGAGACGAGACGAGACGAGACGAGGAACCAGTGGAAGTGGGATCTCTCTCTGTCGTCTCCGCCGCGACTCCGCACCAAATCCCCGGGTTTGCTAGGGTTTGGAGGGAGAGGGAGGAAATCCAGGCATCCAGGCGCGGAGGCCCAGCAATCCGAAGAATCCGTTCGTCGGAGAGGCCATGAGCTCGGCACAAGATCCGTTCTACATCGTCCGGGAGGAGATCCAGGACTCGGTAATCCGTACTTCCCTGTCGCTCTTTATTACGCTCTTGGTTTGTGTAGTGATTGCCAACCTTTCCTATCATCGTCGAGCCTTCGTTCTGCATCAGTAGACGTTGGAAATCCGAGCGCTGTTGTCTAATCTCACCGTGTTCGCGAATTGTACCAAATCGGGACAGAGAGATGCTGAAGTGGCCAATATGCAGTTACCAGCTAGGGATGTTCATGCTCTCGAAAATCTAAATTTTGCAGTATGAGCTCGTGTATAGATATAGGTGAATGGGGACAAGGACGTTACTTTATACACCTGCAGCACTAAACTCTCACAGTAGAGGCTCAGGCATTTACTTGATCTAGTAACTCATGGTCGAATTGTTTGCTTGCCTTTTGTTCCTCACTCTCAGGGTCTCATAGTTTCAGAAACATATCACACCATCTTGCAGTTACATCTGGTTGCCAGTTATCCCTGAGAATAAAGACTATTTTCATTTCTGTTGCTCAACTCTACTGAAGCCCTGGAAACATTTAGGCATATAGCCCCATCCAGGTTCATGTTTAGATGTTGTTCTTTCGGTCCTCAGGATAAATTTATTTCTGTTCCAGATTGATAAACTGCAAAGTACCTTCCACCGCTGGGAGCAAACTGCTTCCAACACAGGAGAATATGTTCATCTGACAAAGGAGATTCTGACCAGCTGTGAAAGCATCGAGTGGCAGGTAGGAACCAAGTCTTTGACATTGTAATTACTCTGATGTTGGTGCGTTTAGAAGAAATTTAAGCAGAAATGGAGATATGCAATTCTTTTCCTTCTTTGTTCATTTTCCGCTACCATATTTATTCCTATATGAGATCAGGTTATGCACCTAATGTATTAGTTTACCATTTATGTGATACGGTATTCACTTTCTTGATGTGTGAATTATTCTGGCCTAAATGGTGCTTGCTTGTGTTCAAACTTGGAAGGTAGATGAGCTGGAAAAGACAATCTCAGTTGCATCAAGGGATCCAGCATACTATGGACTTGATGAAGTTGAGCTTTCCAGACGAAGAAACTGGACTGGTTCTGCTCGTAAGCAGGTATGCATTCGATCATATTGTAGCTACTCTTCAGTTATTTGATGATTGGACATGTCTTTTCTTGTACATATTTGTTAGGATTACCAAATAGGTATATTTTGAACATGAATTAGTTACACACAATTTCAGGTTGCATGATTTCCTGTTGTTCGGTAAAGACAATAAGGAATAATATATTACCATGTTCCAAATTCTGCAGTCGCTAATGTACTTTAATTTATTATATGGATCCTACTTACACTTTATGCATGAACATATCCAGGTTGGGACAGTCAAGAGAGCTATTGAAAAGGGCAAGAGCAATGCAGCAACTTCAAAATACCAGGATACAAGCAGGACCAACCAGTATTCTGCCCAAGATAATGATGACTTTATTTCTTCAGAATCAGATAGACAGCTTCTACTCATGAGGTGAGTTTAATTTGTTACTTTTGACGAACTTTACAAACATGTTTGTTAGAAATATGTTGCCCGTTCAGCATTCAACATATGCAACTCAGTTGTGTCTATTGTACATAGGTAGTGTACAGTGCATAAATATGCTGTTTTTCTAGTCAAAGTTAGCCTTAGTGGCACATAAACCTTGTATTCCTCAGTTGTTCTAGTTAGTGTCTTCGCTTTTCCTCCTGGTTTACTTATCGTTGCTCACTGATTCTTGTGTTTCCACCAGCACATAATAATTATTAAATTTATGTAAATGTAAGTAACCATACAAGGTTTTTTTTTTTGTTTGTTTGCTGTTGCTTTCTTCTTGTGGTAAGTAGGTCACGCACATGCTAGAATATCAAAATCTCAGACCATTTTGTTGAGCTGTCAAAAGTTGTAAAAGAAATGCAGATGATGATTAAACTTGGAATTCAGAGACCTAATATTCTTAGTTGCATATTTACCATGGTAACCATGTGGGTGTGAGGATCATAACTTCATATGTTTTCTGTTGGTTTATGTTTGTACTGACTTTTCCTTCTGGCAGCAAGGTTATCTGTATTTTGATCTACATAGTTTTATGACATTTATTAGCTCTGTTGCTGTTTTCTTGTTTCTGGAAGAGAAGATGGATGCATACTACGGTAGTAGGCTGTCAACCGCAATCATGTCATTTGTGATATTTGTTTATTCCTTCAGTAGTGAATATAGATAGAAATAACGTACACTGATTAAACTCAAATTTCCTAGGCAGATTATATCTATATCTACTTCCAGGGTAGCCATGTTAAGCTCACAATTTTGCATTGATTTGATATATTTACCCAGGCAGCAGGATGAGGAACTTGATGAGCTTAGTGAAAGTGTCCAAAGGATTGGCGGCGTAGGGCTAACTATACATGAAGAGCTTTCTGGACAGGTAATTGCTATTAACAAGGAGCAAAGTTAGTAGATTTGCACAGGAGCTTTAACCGGAATACATGTGGCTGTTTTACAGGAAAGGATCCTAAACGACTTAAGCTTAGAGATGGAGACTACTTCCAACAGACTTGATTTCGTGCAGGTATGCTCTTTCGCCATCTTCGATGGGAACTTTTATTTTGTGTTCCAGTTTGCGTATCCTTTACCCCAAGAATTCTCTCATATTAAGACCTGAGTTGCCATTTTCTTCCTTACCCCAAGAATTCAATCGCAAAACCAAGCCCTGAAATGTCTTGTCCCAATTTGTGGTGCAGAAAAGAGTGGCCATGGTGATGAAGAAAGCTGGCATCAAGGGTCAGATTATGTTGATCGCGTTCCTGGTTGTTCTGTTCATCATTCTTTTCGTTTTGGTGTTCTTGACATAGCCAAGTGCACCAGGGGCCTCAGTTTTCTCTCCCATTTGTCGTGCCTCCCTACTGTAATAGTGTAATTTGTGGTGAAACATAAAGATACATACTGGAGTTACCGATCCTTTATAAATCCCAACTTTCCTTGTAGTCGTGTCATTCTGTCTGAGATCTTCGACATGCATCGGAAGGGAATTAGAGTACGTATATTATTAGTGCTAGACGTCCTTGCTGACAGCTTTACACATGGATTTTGGTTGCCTGCCAATCTGTCATGCTCAGTTGGTCACCTTATTTTCAGAATCTAGACGCTTTGGGGGCAATGTATCTCTGCTCTCTCTGTTGACACTAACACGCGCTGCATCTCTGTTAACGAACACTAAAACAACTACCACGGCTAATCCTAGTAATCACCACTCCCAAGCAGGGTTGACTGTGAGGACCTTGATCTGCCCCACCTCTTACAAATGCTGTTTACTGGGCAATTCTCTCTGTTAGTTAGATCGGCATCCTTTGATTAGCTGGATCAGTGCACGACGCGCCGCTTGTCAAATCTCTCCCTCGGTGCTCACGGTCACAGCTCACCTATAATTTTTTGTGACATTTGGAACGTGGCAAAACAAAAACACAGTTGCAAAGCCGTATATGGGCATGCCGGATTTGAAATGCAGCTTCTTGTGCGGTTTTTAGTGACTTGGAATAATGCAAGTGACTTGGAATTGCGTGCATCTTCCTTTACAAGTTTAGCCGACGGTTTTGTTGCCGGTGCAGTGTTCTCTCGGAATTGGTAACATTGGACTTTTTTCCTACAGTCTCTTGCTTTGGCCTGCTGTCTGATTGTACACGTCTGTCCAAACACAAACAGGATGCCTGCTGGCTGAGCCTGATGTCTGCTGTTATGCTTTCAATACAAGCATGGATTTTGTCTTTGGTCTGATGTCTGTTGTTGCCGATGATAAGTAGGAGTATTCACCAAATCAATGTTTGAATTTTTGTTTCTTTTTAATGCCAAGTGTTTCTCTTTTTAATTAAGGCTCTTTTAGGATTTTCTATTCTATTTTGCCCGTGCATCCTGTTTGAAGATTGATGTGCAGTCTTATAGTGTACTTGCACGGTATGATTTCTGCCGGTATATAGTAAAATAAAGATGGTAATACGTAGTTGCACACTTGCACGGTATGATTTCTGCCATGGCCACTTTATTTCTCCAAGCTAGATGCTTTGGGGCGCTGCTACATACACTACTGGACTCGCATGTGGCCCTCGGCAAAGGATCAGAAACCCTCGGTAAAGGTTTTGCCGAGGGCCTTTTATCGGGCACTCGGCAAAGCCTTTGCCGAGGGCCAGGACGGCCCTCGGCAAAGAAAAGAACCCGTCACGCGCCGGCGCCGTTGGCGGTTTCTTTGCCGAGGGCCGACCCTCGGCAAAGAAGTGGTTTTTTTTTTGAATTTTTTTTGCCGAGGGCCGGCCCTCGGCAAAGAATTTTTTTTTAAATCTTTGCCGAGGACCTCTCCCTGGCCCTCGGCAAAGAAATTTTTAGGATTTTTCCCAAAAAAAAACTTTGCCGAGGGCTATTGCAAGGGCCCTCGGCAAAGGTTTTTTTTAAAAAAAAATATTTACTGAGGGCCGGCCCTCGGCAAAGAAATAGTTTTTTTTGAATTTTTTTTTTAAAAAACCTTTGCCGAGGGCCTGGTCCCTGGCCCTCGGCAAAGAAATTTTCAGGATTTTTAAAAAAATCTTTGCCGAGGGCTATTGCTAGGGCCCTCGGCAAAGGACCCTTTTTTGCCGAGGGCCTTGGTCATTGCCCTCGGCAAAGAGACAGAATTTTTTTTTTTTTTTGCATTCCATCGACACAAGCATTTCATATATATACATATATATATCACACAGAACCCTTTATCTCACAATATATCACAACCATAATTGTGAACCACAAATCACAATATATTACAATGACAAGTCACATGTTTATCATCATTCACATGTTTATTACGACAAGTTAATGAAATCCAAGCATAAGTCACAACCATAAATCACAAATCACGCTAAAGTCCAACCACATCACCTAGCACGAGTCCTCATCAAGCTAGCCTATGAGACGATGGTGAAGGAAAAGCATGATCACCAGGTGACGCACTAGCGGGTTGATTGGAACCCGCGGACGGAAGCTGCACAAAGGAGCAGACATTGCATATGTGAGTAATCCGAAAAAACAGTTTTGGAACTTTGAGATTGCATCTAGTAATCTAGGAATACAAAAAGATTAGACTCAATTGAAAATTTCGGCAGCACCTTTGGCTCCTGTGGCTGGCCCTGTGGCTCCGAGGGCTGTTCTTTGCCGAGAGCCCCTGTGCCTGAGATTTAGCCCTCGGCAAAGTCTTATGTCCTCGGCAAAGCACGCGTTTCCAGTTTCCAGTAGTGATAGTTGAAGTGCTAGACTGTGCTAGTGCTTAGGTGCTGCATCCTGCTGTCAACATTAGGCACCGCTTACACACCGACCACGTCGAGAGCTGGCTAGTCGACACGAGACCTCGGCAACCAGACGCCACGCATGTACGCCAGCCTACAAGTCTAGAACACGAGGCTCTCTGCCTCCTCGACGATGGACCACGGCAGCAGCATCCCGCCGGCACCGGCGTTGCGAGCGGAGCAGTTCCTGCGGATCTGCCCCTGGTTCCCCGTGAGAGCACCTTGATCTGCCCCATCTTCACCACGGAGAAGGCGAACTGGTCGAAGAAGTCCCTCTGGCTGCGCGCGAACTTCTCCACGAGGGGCCTGGTACCGGGGTTGCTGAAGAGGTCCTGGTCCGAGGTGAAGAGCCCCACCCGGTTCACCAGGTTCACGTAGTACTTGTTGTCGAACGCGTCGAGCGTGCGCACGTCCAGCACCCTCCGCCGGTCGGTGCCCTTGGCCGGGCAGGTCCGAAGCAGGTGGGCGGCGAAGCTGGCGTTCAGCGTCGGGTCCGGGCGCGGGAACAGGGGGTCCTCGAACGACGCGCAGTGGCCTAGCCCGATGGTGTGCCCGCCCGACAGCGCCACCAGGTCCGTCACGTCCAGGTTGATCTTAGACAGCACGGCGAGGAGCGCCGGCACGGTTGCCGTCGGCGGCGGGAGGTCGCTCAGGACGTCCTCCCGCGTCGCGAAGCTGGTGCTGTCGCGCCGACCCAGGGGCACCTTGTAGCTAGGCCCGCCGGACTGCAGGCAGGCATTATATTGTGAGCAGGAAGAACACATGAGTGCGCAGTGCAGTGTGCATGCAATGCATGCGTAAACAGCCTACGTACGTACCACGACGACGGAGTCCCGGGCGGCGAGCGCGAGGACGTCGGAGCAGGAGACGACGGCGCCGCCGCACTTCTTCTGGAGGCGGTCGTGGATGGGCTTGAACGCGGTGGGGCGCAGCGTGAGGTTGGGCGGCGCCTGCTGCTCGCCCGGCCCCGTGGCGGAGCCGTCGAGGAGCACGGAGGCGTCCCATCGCTGGACGAAGCAGTCGTGGAAGTGGAGGCGGAGGAGGCCGGCGGCGAGGCCGACGTCCCTGCGCACGACATCCCGCACGATGGACTCCGCCTTCGGGCAGCTTTTCCTGTAGAAGTCGAAGGACAGGCCCCGGACCAGCGGCACGCCCGCTAGCTAGCAGCGTGGGTGAGTACATCACATCAGTCAGTTGGGCGGCTAGTACTTTTTAATTTGGCTTGGGCCACGTTAAGTTGGTGCCTGATTCGACGCCGCCCAAGGTACTGTAGCTACAGTATATTTTTGTTTTTATTTGGTAATAATTGTCCAAACATTGACTAATTAGACTCAAAACGTTCGTCTCGTAAAATACAACTAAACTGTGCAATTAGTTTTTGATTTCGTCAACATTTAGTACTCCATGCATGTACCGTAAGTTTGATGTAACGGGAAATTTTCTTTTTGTATAGTGCCAAAGTTGACAATTTGGTGGAACTAAACAGGCCCTGGGAGTAGACGCATGCATCAGGTACACCAGCATGCATGCTTTGGAGTTTGGACTGCCACCGTACCGGCGCTGCAGTGCAGCTGCTGCATCTATCCAGACGCTTGGCCAAGTTCCCTGCCACGTTCTCTATCTACCGACGACGTACTGCCACCGCACCGGCTCTGTATGATCGAGTTTGTTGCATCGCATGGCATGCCGTCAGTTTATATACACGCTAGATGCATGACTTAAGCTAGATGCTGAAAAAGACTGAGCTGTGATAGACAACACCACCTCCATCTTCCTCGATCTCTTACGTGCATGATTGTAGAGGAGAGACCGGGAGAGTGCATGCAGCTGCCAGGGGCCGTCTTGGTGTCAGTAGTTTTCTCGAGTGCTCTTGGCCAAACTGCCAGGCATGCATGCGCGATGCCATACCATTGCCATGGGCCCCGGCCCGTGACTAGCCTTAGCTTCCATCTCCGATCCGTGTGTAAAAAAACAAAAAACAAAAAACAAAAAAGCTAGGATGGTCTATGTCTATGATCTAGCACAGTACGTACGCAGCACGGGTACATGCACTGTGCTGGTGTTAGGTTCTGCTGCTAGCTGCTTCTGGTGGTCACGAGCTAGTAGCTAGTCGTCGTAGTCTGTGGTCAGTGAGTGCGTGAGTCAGTCAGTTTTAGGCGGCTACTTTGGCTTGGAGTAAACGCATGCAGCCTGCTGCATCCACACCACAACAGCACGCATGCATGGAGCTTACACGTACGCAGCGCTCTACAGGTACTGAATCGGCAGAGCTTGCTTGGGCTTCTCCTTTGTTGTTTCGTCCATCTGCAGTAGCGCAAGATCTTGTCTGTGAAGCGTTTGAGCCATCTGGCAACAAAGCTCCCTTGAGACTCCTAGGCGGCGGTGGCCTGCCCGTCCTGTTCGATGTCTGTCAGCTCGCTGTGGACCGTGTTGGCCTCAGCCGGCGGGTTACCGCTGACCCCTGATGGTGTTGCCTTGTGCGCAGTTTACATGTACATACGTGCATTGTATCTGTACCGTATTATACTACATCCGTCCTGTAATACAGT